GGTGTAACAGATAACAAAGATTCTTCTACTGACCATTAAGAACTAAGAACCAATGCCCCCCATCTTGTGATCATGTGGTCATTTTGAGCCCAAAGGTGTTTTCCTTTGGACTTAAACCCACAACATCAATATGATTGAATTCAGTCTCTCAGACATGTGATTCACAATATTGTGGGGTTTGAGTGTTTCAGGACTCACAGTTGGACTATGATGCCTAGAATTGTAAGTTGCCTGAATCTGAACATCATGCCATTTCTGAATGTCATCAGCAGGATTGTTGAGGTCTGGCTGGTGGGACTCTCCAGCCTCTGCCACCTCCCTGAGCAGCTCTTTTTGGGTGTTGATCCACAAAAATGAATCCAACAAACATGCTCTCTTTCCCACAGCACCCCCCAAAGCAACTTCTCCAGCTTGTCCTAATGAATAGAGTGAGACCACTGTGGTGGCCATGGCTGTTTCTAACCTACGTCTATTCCTCTGGTGTTATTAACATTTTTGCTTGCCCTTGGGGAATATGGACCATTGGTCCATCTCTTCATTCCCTATAACAATATGACACATCCACACCCACACCTCGTGGGTTTCTAGTGTCTCTCAGTAGTATGGCTGGAATTTATCTCCCTGTAGTAGCTCAGTTGCTTGGCTTGGTAAGAGACTGGTACTGCCCAATGGGATGGAAGTGGGTAGAGGCTCTAAAAGTTTTAGCATGGTTTGGTCTCCTGTGCTCATGTCATTCATAGTAAGAATAATAAGTATTCCTGGTCTATCTGGGGTGAGGAGTACATGGTGCTGACTGGGCTCAACATGTAACTTGAACCCAAACCCAGCAGACCCCAGGGGCACAATTTATCCTCAGATTAATCAACAAGAAAAAAGTTTGCTAATAGCAACCACTGGGTTTGGTGGTCATTACCCAGAATCAGCACAGGAATCACTAGTTCCTACATAGAAGCATTCCTCTTCCATCCTCCTGGGGTGGGGCTTGGCCCCACCCTATGGAGAGATAGTGATCCAGGTCTGGCCAGTGGGTGGGTCTCTGCCTGGGACTCTCCGTTTGCCTCCCCTTGACCCACTCTCTGCCCAACTGCCTTCTGCTCTGAGCCCAGAGCCCCTTTCTTGGCTGCAGTCTCTCCTGTGCTAGTAATACTGTTTCCTACCCTTGACCATCAGGAACTCGAGGATTTTCCCTGTGTGAGTCCCAGATGCCTCACCACCCTTGCCAGCTCCCTAACTCATGCCACATCTCCAGGATAGACCTTACAGAGCTTTCTACTCACAAAGTACCCTGCTCGTAGCCTCTGTTTGCAACTGGGATTTGCATCCTCCAAGATGCACTGGGAAACATTCAAGCTTTGTCCCCCAATCCCCATCGACAAAATGGGGGTTATTATGTTGCCTTGGTCAAGGCTGTGGCAAGAGAAAAACCAGATCATCGGTGGAAACTACCTCACCTTGGACTTGACTCATTGCGGAAGGGTTGCAACCAGGTTAACCCCCCCCCCCCCAATCTGGTGATGCCTTTCATGAAGTGCCACACATATGCTCAAGCATCAATAAATATTTGTTGTTTGAAAAGCCCGATGGTAGATTTTCTTCCTCTGACCTTTTGATTATTTTTCCTCTTGAAATAGGAGAATAAGGCCCCTAGTACCATGGTGACAGTCTCTATAGAAATCCATAGCTTGTTCTCAGCACACCCACGGAACCAGTGGGAGGCTGGCATGGATTTGGACCAATGGAGAAACGCATGTTTAGCCTTGTCCTGGTTACAAAGAACATTTTTTTCCCCTTTCAAATGGACCTTCCTGTCCCCAATTCAGCATCACCGAGCTCACTCCTAATGTGGGTTAATTTTCTACCAGCTCCTAGAAAGAGTGTACTTCCAGTCTCTCCTGGGACAGATGGAGGAGTTTCAAACAGGATAAAGCAAGTGTCGGCGGGGAATATTCAGAGCCTGCGGAGGAGTCAAGCAGCTCCGATGGCCTTTCTGCCCGGGGGTGGGAATGTTTGCCTGTGCAGCCTGTCCACAATCTGAGGTTAGAAATAGACTTGGGTTATTACCAGACATCTTTGCTGTTTTGATCTTTTCTTTGTCATACTTGCCCTAGAGGTTGGGAATGTATTAATTTAGGAGTGGAGGTGCTTTGCTGAGGCTGAGGAGGGCCTCTGTCCCTTTAAGAGGGTCCTTGAGGAAGGACAGTCAGAGAAGCAGAGAGATGAGGGCCAGATGGCCAGTGAATGCAATGCAGTGAGTTAGGGAGAGGGCCAGCTGGGCTGTCTGCTTTAGTCACCTTGCAGTGGGGAAGTCTTTGTGGGGTGGGGTTCATTGGAAGATTTGGGTGAGGGCAGACAGTCTGACTGGTCCCAACTTCTGCCTGAATTGGGACTCAGAGTTCTACACCTGGGGTGGTAGGAAAGCAACAGAAAAAATATGGGCTGTGGGCTCAGATAAGTGAGAGTTCAAACCCCAGGACAATGTCTGAGCGTCCGGTTCCTCCTCTGCAAAATGGGATGATGGTCCCATCTCCTGGGTACACTGAGATGAGTGCAGATACTGAGTTGAAAATAGCACCTGGGGTAAAGTAGACCCTCAGAAAATTTTAGTCCCCCTCTCCTCTGGAAAGCATACCAATAACTTTTTAAGTTACTAAGAGGGGCATAAGGGAAAACCTTGCTCTGAGAATATGATGTCCTGGCAATTTAAAAATGAAACTCCAAATCCTATGTAAGTCCTTTACTCAGAATGCCAGTATATCACTTAGGCCTAGTACCAGCTCCTTGTAACTGAAAACCCACATAACAGCAACTGAAACAAAGTAAGGATCTACTTTTCTCTCATTTGAAAGAAGTTCTGGGACAAGTAGTCAAAGGCTGAAATGGCAACTCCCTGGTCATCCCCTCCGAATGGTCAAGCCTCCTCTATCTTTGTGTCCTGCTATCCTTACAGTGTGGCCTTCATCATCAAGGTCATTGCATGCTCATTAAAAGCTGCTACAGCTCCAGCCATCACATCCACATTCCAGGCATGGAAGGGAAGGGAGAAATGCAAGACTCAGATGAGTCAGCATTAAAAAAACAATTACCAGGAAGCTCCACCTATGACTTACATTTATAGCTTATTGACAACCCCCTATATCAAAGGGAGGCAAGGAAATGTACTGGGCTGGTGAACACCCCCCCAAAATATAGGGTTCTACTAGTAAGTAGAAACAGAAACCTAGCCAATGCCACAGCTCCTTCAATTTCACTGGAAAGTTTTGTCTGGGCCAACACTGGGAATATTTCCCCAGGCAGAAGGAAGCATCAAGGTCTTGCCTTCTCTATTATTGGTCTTTGCCCAGGGGACCAGCTATTTCTGGAAAGGCCACCAGTGAGAGTGATGTCAGAGGGCTGTGGTGTGCAGCTGACCTCAAAGGCAGAGCTGCAGTGAGATCCTGGCAGCACCTCTTACAGACTGGGTGTCCTTGATTGATTTATTTAACTACACCCTTCCTGGTGCATCCATCGATCCCCTTAAGGATCAATGTGATGCATAAGCAAAGCACTCAAAGAGAGCCTGGTGCTCTACAGGTTGTCAGCAAAGGGTTAGCAAATTCCTGTCCCTTCAAACTCCCATGGCCCACCTGCCACACTAGTGGTAATAAAGCAAACATCAGCGTATACCCAACTTCAGATGATATTTGGGTTTTATGAATCAAAAAATTTCAGAGATAGAAGCCCAGATGTCTGGCTTTTAAATCCCACCTGGAGAACTTACTAAAACACTAAGGGTAAATACTGAAATCTAAAATACTCGGCATGATATCACATCCTGATCAGATGTGTAACAAATCACCCCAACTCAGTAGCCTGGAAGGCAATGCTGGCTTATGATGTCATGGTTTCTAGGCGTCAAGAATCTGGGTGTGGCCTTGCTTGGTTCTCCCAGGCAGCAATCAGGCTATCAGCTGGGGCTGTGGTCATGTCAAGGGTCACTTCGGGTTGATCGGTCCCCACGCCACACACGGTCTTGCTGTCAGTTTTCAACTGGCTGTTGGCTGGAGGCCACCTCGGTGTCTGCTGCCTGCAGAGGGTAACTCACAACATGGCAGCTTGCTTCACCAGAACAGGCAAGGGAGAAAGCAAGAGATAGAGCATGAGCAACAGGGAAGTCGTGTCTAACTTAACCCCACTGCCATTTTAGTCTATCTATTAGAAGCAAGTCACTAGGTCCAGCCCAACCTTCAAGGGAGGAAGAGGGGATATTTTAGAGGCACTAATTGTTGACCTCTCAGTGTTCCAGACAGAGGTGTCCAGTTCCTTCCATGAACAAACTCAGCTCCTTCCTGCCACAGGGCCTTTGCATATGTGTTTCTGTTGCCTGCTAACTCCATCTTCTCCCTATCTAGTTTTATTCAAGTATAGATTTTTTTCAGAGAAATATTTCCCATGCACCTTTCTGAGTCATAGGAAGGAGGGGTGCCTGGAGCATGACTTAGCACTGGGTAGAGCCAAGAAGTCTGACACTGATTGTTCAACTCTCCTAGCGGCGTTTCATGTAGTGGGACACTTTAGCAGTAGCTGTTGTCCTCAGCAGACCACGCATCTAGTTCCTGGATTCTTGGCATAGCTTGCTGGACTGCCTAGTAGTTAAGATGGAGGAAAGAGAGAGAGACAATCTCCTAATTCAGGCAGGGTCCCAGTTCTGAAAACATATGCCTTTCTGACCCATTTGCTTTTATCACATATGGTTATTCATTCACTTTTAATTTGATTTTTTTTTTTTTTATAGAGGCATTTTTATTTATTTATTTATTTGTTTGTTTGTTTGTTTGTTTATACATGCACTGGGTACAGTCAGAAGTGCGGGAGGGTGAGAGAATTCACCAGAGCCAGAGCGGGGAGCAGAGCAGGCAGAAGGACCGAAGTACACTGCTGAGGGGAGCAGCGGGCGGCAGGAGAGGTCTGCGCGCCATGTGGGACCCTCCTCTGGTGGCCGGGGAGCAGCCGGGGAACGAACCGGCGCTGCAAAGGCTGCGGGCAGCTTCGCAACCCAGCGCTCAACCGCTGCGCCACCGGGGAGGCCCTTCATTCACTTTTAATGGTATGCTTTTCAGTCCATAAATTCAGGTGTGGGATAAATATAGATTTCTGTTACTCCTAACTGAATTCCATTTCTATTTTTAGTCTCCATTAGACGGAGTAGATGCACCTGATCACAGTCCATCCACCCCCTCCCTTTCCCCAGAGACTGCATCTAGGTTTGGTGTGCAAAGGTGATAGGAGGAAGGCCACCTGGTCTTTGATATCACCTGTCAGTGGCATTTGTCATTATAAGTCATTGATCAGCCCACATCACCATGGAGCTGCCCCTTACTCCTGGCTGCAACCAACCTTGTTACTGTTGGGTCATATTCACAGGTGTCACTAGTTACCTCCTATGCGTCACAGGATCGTGGGAAGCTCGGTGAGGTGTCTATGTCCCCAACTGCTTAGACACATTGTGTGGCCACTTTGGCTCTTTTGGGCCTTCCTGCCTCCATCTTCCCTTCCTCTGAGGGTCCCCAGTATGTCCCTCTGAGGATACTGCCTTTTTCTGCTGCCCTGGTCCTGAGAATAGAACTTGTAGGCCTCTATCCTGGTGGCCTGACTTTACCATACATCTCCCTTCTAGTTTTTTCCTGAATCACCCTGGAAACACTTTTGAGTCTGCAGGGGAGTGGGGGCACCTTGCTTTGTCAGGTTTTCCTCCAGAGGTATTTAGCTAAACTGTGAGTTCTTGCCCATCTCCCAAGAACTGTGAGTTCTTGCCCATCTCCCGAGATGTGAGCTCCTCATCTTCAGAGCTCACAGGCCAAGGAACACTCCTGACCCAGTGTGATAAGGGGCTCTGGAGGCAGGGTGCAGAGGCCCCTGGGAGGCCCCCATCCAGACCTAGGAGGCAAGAGCCAAGCCTGAAAGTGGATGGAGGCAGATAAGCAAGGAAAGGGCAGTTAAGTTGAGACAGGAGCCTGTTCAAACGTGGGTAGGCATGGAGACAGGCCTCCGAGTGGCTGCAAAGGAACGCAGGTTGTGTCTGAGGTGAAGCTATGAAAAAGGTTGGAGACAGAGATCTGGTAATGAGAGGTTTTGGATGTTAGGCTTAGGCATTTGGATTTTATCTTCAGGAAATGTAGCTCCATGGGAAGATTTTTAAACAGGCAATGATAGGGCAGGCTTTGTGCTTTTAGAATGTTCTCTCTGAGCCAGGGTGGAGGATGGGCTGGAGTCAGTACCAGTGAGGAGCCTGGTGCATGCCCCTGCCTAAACTCCCCCCACCCACCCACCCAAGGAAAGATGGGGCTGCAAGGGGAAGAGGGAGACAGTGTGCATGGAACACGTTCTGGGAGGCTAGAGGGCAGGGCCATCAGACTTGGCAACTGAGGGTATGTGGGGGTCCCCACCTCTAATGGAATCATTTGCTGAGTTGGCAGGATGGCAGCCACAAGGGAATGTGAGATTTAGTTTAGTCCGAAGTCCATTTTAGTGTTGGAATCATCAGGCAAGGAAGCCCTCAGTTCTCCACTGCTGAATCTCAGCAAAGACTTGAGCAGAAAAGCCCCATCATGTTGGAAAGAAGCAGCCTCTGGACCCTCGTACTTTTTAAATCGCTTTGGACTGTGGGTTGCCTGGAGGACCAGCCTTAGCAGATGACCAAGACGGCAGCTGAGTAGGCCCGAGTCCCAAGGCACACTAGGACTCACTGAAGAAGAAAGTTCCAGCATTGTTCCTGGGGGGCTGCACTATCCCATCAGAGACCCAGATGCCTCTCTTGATTTGTGCTCCCTGTCCTTAGCTGTGGGCCTTTGGTTTTCATGCTGAGCCCTCTTGTTGGCGAGCTGCATGCTGCCTCCTACTTTCAGCGCTTGATGAAATAGGCCAGTTTTCCAGGAAACGTTACCTTTTCCCTGCTTCAACCCGTATATTCACATTAGCACCTGAGGTATTTATTTGTAACCCCAATGTGGGCAAAGTGTGGGGTGTTAGGCTTTCAGCTGGGCTGTAAAGCATTGTAGAGGCAACTGGGCTATCAAGGGAACAGTGTAACCTTTGAATCCCAGCCTTTCTGTGAGGGTTGAGTTGCTTCCTTCCCCTTCGATTGTCCCTTTCAGTGTCACTAAAATGGAGACAGTCAGAGATGGTGAATGTACAGGGAGATGAATTTTGTGAAGTGCCTGGCACCGTGCCTCACACACAGTGGCTCTCTCCTTTTCTCTGTGAGCACCCCCTCCTTGCTTTCCCACCTGTCCCCACGCAAGGGGAGGTTGTTAGGTGAAAAGGACCATCTTAGGAAAGGACCAAGTTCAAGCCTCTGAAATGAATTGCTAATGGTAAAATTTCACTGAGTTATTGAGGGGGTGAGGGATTTGAGGTGGCATGGGTAGGGAAGCTATGGGTTGCTTTGGCTACTATTTTTTTTCATCCTGTTCTTGCTGCACAGATGCTGCATCCGTGAATAGAGGCAAAACTGGGAAGCAAGAGGGTGATTTTAAGTCTTAAAAGCCACCTGTGACATCTTAGGGTTCAAGCTTCAGAATTAGAGTCCCCCTCACCCTCATTAGCTTCCTGCATTCTGCCTGTCAGCCTGGCAGAGCTGTGAGTAAGCACGGAGCCCGCTTGCCGCAGAGCAGCTGCCTGGCGTGCCGCTGAGTCACTGCCGCCTGCCCTGGGCCCTGCCTGCCAGGTGGCCACTATCTTTGGACATTTTTATTTTCCTTTGCAGAGAAGGATAATTATGGCTTCCGTGCCCTGTGGCTGTATACATTCTGCCTGCCCCAGACAGAGGCAAAGATCCTTTACAAAACCCTCCTTTTTTTTCAAGGAAACCGGGGGATGGTGGAGGAGGGGGAAATTTGTGCAGAACTGAGGTGTGCAGAAACACAGTGTGCAAAATGTAGGAACCTTTCAGGATTTGCAAGAAGCTTAGCCCTGCGCCATCAATCACCTCCAAAGCTTGTTATGCAAAGTGGCTTAATTGGCCTACAGGTTGGTTGAATTTTAAACCCACGGATTTTACTCAAGTAAGGGAAAGGAAAACAGATTTGACAGATTCAGGATGGAGCTGTGTGGCTTACACAAACACAGAAGAAAAACATCCGGGGGACAAAACAGGTCACAAGTGGAAAATGATAGATGTGGATGATAGATACAGATGGTTAGGTCCATATAGGTACACAGATGGATACATAGAAACAGAGATATATAGATACATAGAGATGGATAGCTAGATATGGTGGGGTGCATAGCAGGTAGGCAGATGGATGGATGGATGGATGGTTGGATGGATGGACGGATGGATGGATGGATGTTAGTTGAGAGTGAGAAAGGGGTAATGAAGATGTCAGGAGCTTTGGGACTGTGGTATGTTTAAAAAACAATGCAATGGAAGTTGTTCCAGGCAGATGCTGGGGTCTGAGAAGTCAACCCAGAGTTGTGTTGATTCATCCTAAAGAGCTATTTCACACCCAGGTAAGGCAGAATTAGCTAAAAAAGTCATCAGTGGAGCTGTGTCATTAGGGGGAAATAATCATTTCGGATTTAGGGTTTACTTTAGCCATCATAATCCTGGCTTTGAATAGCCACTCTGAGAAGCTGGGTAGCCTTGAGTTAATTATTTAACTTATTTGGATCCCTGTTTCCTCACCTACCGCTGAACGCTTATTTCGTGGAGAGGAGGCAAGGAGGTAATAGATGTGGCCAGCATAGGGTTAGAACTTGGTCTATGCTTGTGGTTACACTCTCAGGTATTCCCCTTTCTTTCCCAACACACTTGAATTGTAGATGAGCAGAAATTTGTGCCAGGTCCATGTTGGATATAGGGTATAGATTTGCTTGATTCATTTCCCACATGTTCCCTAAATACCAACTGTGCGTCTGGCAGACACTGCTAAGCCCTGGGGACTGACTTAGGGGGGAAAAGACAGGAGCCCTGTCCACAAAATGCTTCCCAGCTGCAAAGGGAGATAGATGTTCAAATGACTGAGAATACTTTGCATAAGCAAGTCCTCACTGAATGCCAGGATGTCAAGGTATGCCCTCATTGGGCACCTCACGGTGATTAAAGAAGAGGAAACTCCCCCAGGTCCCCACACCCAGTGTGTGGCAGAGCCTCGGCTGGAACACAGGCCAGCCTGACCCCAAAGGCCTTTCTCAAAAACATGTAGTTGCCAGGTGTGTGTCCCAAGCTTCTGGAGGATGACATCAGTCTCAGCTGTGTCAGAAAGTGCTCAGACACTAGAGGTATTCATTTTCAGAGTCTCCCATTTGGGAAGGATATAATTTTGAGGAGTCTAGAGGAAAGGGTTCGAGAAGAGTTGGCACCTACTGGTAGCAAGGAGTGTATTTCAGCCTGTGTGCATGTCTGCGGATGTGCGTGTTGTCTGTGCCAGTTGCTGGGAATGCGTGCACATATCTCTGTCTGTATGTTTGCACATCTGCATCTGAAGGGGCGTGTCTGTGTCTGTGTGTCTCTCTCCCTTTTTATAACTCTACGAGTTTTAAGTTTATATGTGTGACTGTGTTTGTGTGTAAGTGATTGTGTGTGTCTCTGAGTTGGGGGGCGTGTGGATGTCTGTGTATATGTATTTGTGTGTCTCCTGATCTGCATGTGTGCCTGGGGTGTGTGAGTGTATTTGTGTGTCTGTGTGTGTCTCTACCTAGATGTGTGTCTCAATTTGTGTGTGTGTATATCTGTGTGTGTGTCAGGGGTATGTGTCTCGATTTGTGTGCATGTGACTTAGGGAATAGGCCTGCATGTATTTATGTGTCTTTGAATCTCCAGGTGATTCCATGTGTGTGTCAGTGTCTGTATCTGTAAGTGTGTGCTTCTGGGGGTGTGTGTGGTGTGACCCACTCCTACCCCCCTTCCCCTTCAGCCCCAGTTATTTCCATGGAGCTGACTGAACTTGTCCTTCAGAATAAGGAAACGACAACCTCAGTGCTTTTAGCCTTATCTCCCAGCCTGCAACTACCAAAGGAAATTAGATTTACTTGGCACAACCTGCTCCTTATGATGTCATTTTGGCTGTGATCTACACATTCTGCTCTCCTAGGTATTTGTCTTTTGACTGGTTGATGAATACCCGCCAATGCAGAGATTAAGGGAATATGAGTTCTGAGTTTTTGTTTGTTTTTAAGAATCATGCCAAGGCTGGAACATAAACTGTCCATCTTTTGCTGTGGAATTAGAATCCAGGGCCAAGGAGATAGAACTTTGACTTTGAAATGCTAACACTTTGGTTCAAGCTGTGTGACCTTGGGGAGAACTCTTTGCCTCTCTGAACCAGAGTTCTTTTTATGTGCTAAATTTTAGAAAGTCTTTGGAGCAGCAAATAGGTTGATAGATGAAAATGTTCTCAGAAATCCACAAAGTCCTTAAATCATAATATCAAGGCAGTGAGAAGAGAAAAATATAATAATATGCAAAAATGTCCTCAGAAATCTACAGCCCTTGAATTATATAATGTCATTTCAGTGAGGCCCACAACTCATATGTCAGGCAGACGTGGATTTGGGTCTTGCTCCATTCTCTTTCCAATGTATGACCTTGAGCAAGTCATTATACTTTTGTGAGTCCCAGATTTCTTCTCTGTTAGATATGATATTATATATAAAGCACTTAGCCAATTGCTGGCCCTGTGAAGGCCCCCCAAATGGGAGCTCTTCATATTTTTAATAATACACCAGGGGAGATGGCAATATTAATATCTGTCCACTTTCAAACCTTCCATGAGCATAAGCAAGATAGAGCCTCTGGAAGTGCAGGGTGAAGTAGGCGGTGTGATAAAAGTGATTTACTATATTTTTTTACTATTTCAAGATGCAGCATCAGCAGAGTGTTCTTGGCATCATCATATTCTTGGCAAGCAATTTGCATTTCATCTAGAACTCAGAGGATGTTCTAGTTACAGAGAGAAGCTGAGAATGAGGGGGCCTCCAACCTGGAGTGGTCTAGGCTTTCTTCCCCAGGACCCATCCCAGCCCCTCTAGCTGCCTCCTTTCTCCATGATTTCACTCCACTGGCTTTGGAAGATGTTGCCTCTGCCCCAGAATATCTCTCACCTTCGCTATACCCCCCATTCCCCCCCAACCATCTGGGCTGAGCTCCAGGTGCCTCTGTCCAGGCGAAGGCATTTGTCCCTGCTGTGTCCCCAGTGCACCTGGTACTCACCTTTTGTGCATGACGTCCAGGGCGTTTGAATCATCTGCTCTGTGGCCTGACTCCCTCCCCACCGGTGACTTAGGGGGACATCTGCAGAGTGAACACAGAACAATCAATTCTCTTCTCATTTTCTGTCCCAGCCCCTCTGATGGCAATACCTTCAGAAATCAATATACTCACTTGATCTGAACCCACCTCTGACAGCTATTTTGCTCAATAGCAGAGATCCTGCTGAAATGTGCCTGTTGATTTTGGTTTGGTTTGTTTTTCAAGCATATAGGTTTATCTCCTCTGAACAGCTTGTCCTCTATAAGAGTACCTCGAAGAGCACCTCGCAGACCAGCTGACATAAGATTCCCAAGTGTCTGACCAACTTTAGGGCTAGTTTGTGGATTTGCCATAATGACATCAGGTGTCATTATGGGGCCTGTGGCATCAGTTTAGAAAGTGGTTGGGACCCAGGATCTGGGATCGGACTGCCTAAGTTCTAAGCCCAGAGATCATGAACCTCTTTGTACCTCAGTCTCCTTGTCTATAAAATGGGGATGCTTAATAGCACATTCCTGCCTCAACTGGGGTTTTGTCAGGATTAAGTGACAAAAGTAAAGCCTTTGACCCAGTGAGGCTGAGCTGGTGTTTCTGTATGTTACATTTGCAGGCAATGGCAATTCATCAAACCAGGGCCTCCACCATGACAACGACAGAGAACATTGAGAGTGAGACACCTGCCTCCATCCTGTCAGAGCTGGGCTCCCAAGATTGGGCAATGGAATTACTCTGAAATTTCAGATGAGCCTTTTAGTAATGGGGTGTGCAATTCAAGGAGAAATAGATGTTCTGTATGTACCCTATGAATTGGATGTCTTTGTCTCACTTTGCAGCAACCTGCACCTAGCTGACAGTCTGCTTGACATGTGGACTGGTTCCTTGTACAGAGTGGGGGGTCAGCAAATGACAGCCCTCAGATTAAATCTGGCCCACAGCCTGTTTTTGTAAATAAAGTTTTATTAAAACACAGACACACCTAGTCACTTACATATTGTAACTGCAACAGACCACAGGGCTTGTAAAGTCTGAAATATTTTTGATCAGGGCCTTTACAGGAAAAGTTTGCCAACTGCTGGTATTAGATTGAAAAAAAAAAATTAGAGGCCATTTGGGTTGAGCTCAGTGGTAAGCTGAGTACCATCCCTCTCTTCACTTCCCCGTATCCCTGACATTGGTGAATCAGAGACCAAGTCAATACAACCCACTGTATTTTGAGCATTTGGTCTCCCATTTCATCTGCAAATGCTCAGCCCTATCCTAACTTTAGCCCAGCCCTCTCCCATCCTTCTTGACTATCATCCACCAGGGCCACCACCAGCCTGTCAAGGGTCTGGTTGAGTTAGATAAAGGTGTCTTCTCTGGTAGAGACAGCTCGATGACACACATCAGTGATCAGCAGGAGGCCCCCTGTGCAGGAAAAAACACCTTACCCCACTGATTATACCCAAGCAATTACGGCTCTTATACTTATTGCTTCTGTATTAAGTCCCCACCTAACACCATCAATACATTGTTAGAAACTCCCACTCTAAGTGAAATGACATATAATAAAAAAAAGATTCTTGAATAATATTGTTTTGGTCAATGCCCCCAGGACTGTTTTTTCCTCATCAATCTTATAATGAAGCAATGCTGAATGAAAGGATGTTTTTAAAAGGAACCTACTCTATTGGCTCCTTGCCTCCAGTTTCTCTCTATCCAGGCAGTCCTCCACACTTGAGCTAGAATGATCTTTCTAATAGGCTATGACCCTTTCCCTTTCAACCTCTGCTGGACACTCCCAACCCTCAGGACAGGGTTCATGTTCCTGTGCATGATATTTAAGGCTTGTCATGGTCTGATCTCTGCCAGGCTCCCAGCCCATGCTGTGCCCATGTCTCACCCTTGCCCAGCCTACATCACACCTGAGCATTATCAGACAACTTGGGGTTCCCTAGACCCAAACCTCTATACTTGTTCATACTTTTAGGATTGGCACACATTTGTACATCATGAAATACTCTTCTCTTCCTTGTATCTATCTGGAAAATTCCTAGTCATCCTTTAAGTTCATCACAACTACCTCCTCCACGTAACACCCTCCCTGACTATCTGAGGAGGACTTGGGCACTCCTTCTGTGGTTCAGTCCAGACTCCACACACCATGGTTCACGGCCCATGCACAGGTAGGAAAATCAATGAAGTAGACCTTGACCAGAGCTTTTTGAAAGATGAACTTGTCTAGAAAACTAGAGCCTGAATTGTTCTTTGTCAGGAATGGTTATAGCATAGGAGGAATAACACAGGCTCTGGAGCCACACTGCCCTGCTTGGGTTCAAGTCTGGTTGTACAGTTTATTAGCAATGACCTTGGGTTAATGATTTCATCTCTCTTTGCCTCAGTTTCCTCATTTTCAATAGAATGATGATAATGATAGCACTTTCTTCCTAGCTTATCATGAAGACCAAATAAATCTATATCACCTATCATTGATATCTCTCTCTCTTCTCTCTCTCTCTTTCAGAAACATCCCCAGTCATATAGACACAATAACCAGCGTGAATGCACATACAGGTGCATGTGACTATGGTTTCGATGACTATCTGGAAGCCTCTTTTCTGACTGGAAGCTGTTCTGAACCTTATTAAAGTAATTATATGATTTTATTATGATGTTTGGGGATTATTTTCACTCTCCTTTACCAGTCAGGGGTAGCTAGTATGTCTCATTTAGCTCCACATTCTAAGCACCTGCCATCATGCTTAGTAGATGCTTTTTGAATAAATGAGAAAATGAGGCCTAGATCTGGAAGCGCCAAGCCAGCATAGGGTCTCTGTCCTGCAATTGTAGGGACCAGACTCCTCCAGCCACAGAGCTGGTGTGGGATTTGGGCCACTTTCTCATGCTATCTGGTGCCCCCAGTTAGACTCTGCGACCACAGCCCTCCATCAGTGGGAGGGAGGGAGGCCTGAGGGACTCTCGAGCGAGAAATGGAGCTTCCCAACTGATGCTTAGGAAAATGGAAACTCCAGCTGACCTAAGAGATTTCTATAATGAGAGAAAACCAATTTAAATGCAAATAGCCCACAGCTAGTTGAGGAAAAACTCTGTGAGGCAGAGAAAGGATGGGAAAACAAATGCAGCCCTCATCACGAGGCTGCTTCCCCACTGCCCAGAAGGATTGCTTTATCCATTTAGGATTAAAGTCTAAACTAGTGACAAAGAGTCACATGCATTGCTGGCAGCATGTCCTGGTGCCAGCTGAGAAATGGGTGTCCCTCAGGGGGCCAGTCATCCGTCAGTCACTGCCGGTTACTGAGCCACCAGCAGGTATTGGTTCATGCAGCACATCAAGAAGGGAAGAAGGGGCCTCCCTGGTGGCACATGAGGTTGAGATGCAGCACTATGAAGCTACCCACAGCCACTGAAGCATGAGTTCGGTCCCCGGCCAGGGAGGTGACCCACATGGCGCAGCAGACCTCTCCTGACTCGCCCGCTGCTCCCCTCAGCTGTGTATTTCAGTCAGTCTGCCTGTTCTGTTCCCTACTCTGTCTCTGGTGAATCCTCTCACCGCCCCCTCCAACACATACCTCTGGCCTGTACCCCAGTTCTTGTATGCATAAATAAATAAATAAATAAATCTTAAAAAAAAAAAAAAAGAAGCTCCCAGGCATACCAGGTCTCTGAGGGGCTCACAAGCCTGCAGAAAGTCAGCCTGAAGTAATTCTGATTCTGGGCCTGTGTTAAGAACTTATAATTTATTGAGCATCTACTAATTGAGCATTTGCTACGTGGCAAGTCCAGTACTACATTATGTGGTGGTGATTCCTCACTTCTCACATGACCCCAAGAGGTAGAGTCTGTTATTATTCCCATTTTACAGATAAAGTGAGTTTCTGGGTTTGGGTAAGAAACTTGGCTCTGGTTGCTGGGATTGGCACCCAGACTGAATGGCTCTAGTACTCACTTTATCTCTCCCAAGTGCCAGGAAGAGGCTGTGGGTGATGGGTCCTGGAGACCTCTACAGAGCAGAGCTGCCTAAAGTCATGATGCCTTGGGACAGAGTTGCCACTGGCTTTGACCTGGGGCAGCAAAAATGACCCTATTCAAGAAATCAAGAGATGCGGGTTGCTTTGTCACTAACTGGATGTGTGACCTTAGGGGTTACTTTCCTTCCCTGGACCTCATTTGCCTACATAAAATGAAAGGATTGGCCTAAAATTATTTTACGCTATAAAATTATATAGTTCTAGGGCTCCATCTACCCTGAAGAATAGCTTTGCCAGGTGATAGACTGCCTTTTCTGCCCTCCTTCATGTTCCACCCTGCCCTCTGCCCCTGCAGGTCTGTATCTGTTGCAACACAGCACTTTAATTTTCTCCTCTGGTTTCATAATTCAAGGGCAGCACCATCTGCCACATTAAATCTATGCTTTCTGCTAGCCCCCTTCTCCAAACAAGAGATGAATAAAGTCCTCCCGGTTTAATTCATGGATGGAGCAGGAGCTGGTAAACCCAAATGGGGGCAGCTTTGGCCTTGCAAGATGTATTAATCCCTTAATCTTCTGGCTGGGCCCCTGTGCCCATTCTGTCATTTTCACGCTTACCCCAGCCAAGTCCTGATGTTAATGATGACGACGACGACTACGATGATGATGATGATGATGATGATGATGATGATGATGATGATGGATAGATAGATAGATGGATAGACAGGTAAACATTTAATGAGGCTCTTACAAGTCAGGCATTTTATTTAGTGTATTGCACATTAATTTATTTCATCCCACCATATCTTAATGAGGAAGGGATGAATAATAATAACTCCATTTTATAGATCCTGAAACTGGGGCCCAGGAGGCTTAAACTTGTCAAAGTCTGCACACCTGATAAATAACAGAGGCTGAGTTTGATTTGGCTGGGGAGATAAACACATACACATGAGGACAACCATCCTGCTAGGGACAGGGTTTCACAGCTGAGCATCTTGACCTTGGATCAAGGTCATTCTCCTCTATTCCACATTCATTTGACACATTTGGCACCAAGTGCCAGTACCAGAGTCTACTTTCCATGTTGGGCAGCCTGCAAAGGACAAGACCCACAGAAGCTGCTCTCATAGAGTTGAGTGTGCCCCAAACCAATAGCCAAATAAAGAGACATAATCATTTTAGGTGATCAAATGCCACCAAGAAAATACAATAGAGGACAGGCGAGAACGAAATGGATGGATACTCGAGGAAGTCTTCCTGGAGTAGAGGAGCTTTGAGTAAAGACTTGGGCATTCAGCCTAGCTGTAGGGTTTCTCAGCCTTAGCACTACGGACACTTGGGCCTGATAACCTGGGTCTTCCCTGTGAATTATTTGGATATTTAGCAGCATCTCTGGCCTCTACCCATCAGATACCATATCAGCTCCCTCTCCAGTGTGACAAGCAGAAACAGTGTTCAAAAATCCCCTCCATTCCTGAGCCTTCCTGGTGGTACAGGGGTTAAAGTCTGAGCACTATCAAGCTACCGCCAGACATTGCAGCATCAGTTTAATCCCCGGTCAGGAAGCTAATCCACATGGTGCAGCAGACCTCTCCTGTCTTACCAGGTGCTCCCCTCAGCAGTGTATTTCAGTAGATCCACCTGTTCTGCTCTCCACTCTGTCTCTGGTGAATCCTCTCACACCCTCACTCCCGCACCTTTGGCCTATAGCCCAGCTCTTGTATGCATAAATAAATAAATAAATAAATAAATAAATAAATAAAATATTTATTTTAAAAAAATGTCCCCACCTGGGAGGTAAAATCACCCCCTTTTGAGAACCACTGAGACATAAGATCAGCAAAGCAGGCAACATGGTGGAAGAAATCACAAGGTGGGCAGAAAGTCTGAGAAGCAGGAAGGAGGCTGGTTTGGCTAGAGAGCTGGGGGCAGGAGGGTGAGGTCAGGGAAGGAGGGCAGGCTCCTCATGGCAATGTGCTCTTTAAAATTTGCTAGAAAGTACTCGGCAACACTTATGAATAATCTTCTCTTCATCAGCTGTGCCCAGGACATAGGACATGCTCCAAGGTGAAAGCTCTTCTCCAAGGTAGTTGGAGAAGACACTTGTGCCTGGGAAGGCAGCTGCCAGCCTGGGGCTGTCCACGGTAAAAAAAATATTCCAGATAGAACTCAAGCAGGAGGTACTCTAGAGGCAGCGTCCATAGTTCAGGGAAGGCAATGTCTGGGTCACTTCCTGAATAGGAGGTGGTGGGCAACTGTGACCTTCACCTTCCTAGAGCCCGTGCCCTTCCATTTTCCTTTAGCAACCAACCTGCCCAGCCTTGCTGTGCAACATTTTGCTAGATTTTCTAGTCAGGGTGGCCCATAGTCTAGCCTCACCTAGCCCAGATATGAGACCCAAAATTAGCCATCAGATTCTTTCTGGAATTAGAATATTGGGCACAGAAACCTAAGGGCAGAAATTGGCTACAGTCGATTTTTCTAATGGAAATGGAACAAGGCATGTTCCTCTGTCCTGGCATTAATTTTTACTATCTCAGCTCTCCAAGAGGCAATCTTTGCTCTCTCTTCCAAGGCCTAGTTTTTTAGCTTTTCCTTTTAATGCCCTTTGAATATTAGATCTATTTAATTCGCCAGAGTAGGTTTCTGATACTTGAAACCTCAACTAAAATAGAAAGGTACAATGTGAACAGGGAAAAGAGAGAGTCGATTTCAGATTCATTTCACTCGCTACTTTATATTAAACAAGCTGCGGGCCTCCCTCTCTCCCAGCTGCAGCCAGCAGCTTCTCCAAGGCCAGGTTTCTACCTTTTTCTTTTTTGTAGCTGCAGATCTCTCAGGTTTGGCTTCTGCTTTGTGGGATAATTAGTTTAATGTCATCTTCCCCTACCATGCTGGTAGTCCCATGAAGACAGGGCAGATGGAGCTGACTGGGTGACCAACTGTCCCAATTGGCCTTGATCTGGGGGCACGGATGGGGGAAGGGGCCCCCAGGACAAGGACTGCCAGTGTCGCAAAGTTCCCAGCACGTGGCGACAGTGGTTCACCTACCACCGTCCTCAAGCATCGTTTGTCCCTAACGCTCAAGAAATTTATGCTGAAATTGGAAATTGCCAGCACGAGGCCTATTCTCTCACACCTATTTCTTCATGCCCACTATGTGCCAGGCATGGGGCCTTCTGGAAAAGAAGCCCCAGCAGCCAGGGCTGGAAATGTAGATGGGAACCAGACTGGAGAGCGTCTTGAATGTCAGGCTAAGCAAGCTGGATGCGGCACAGGCACGGCAGATCCCGCCGGTTCAGGAACAGAGAGACGACAGGGAAGCAGGGTTGATGTAGGGGCAGTCTGGGAGGCTCCTCCCAGGCTCGCCGACAAGGACCCGTGTACGGGGGATGAACCCAAAGTTAGTGAGCTGTGTGGTCGTCTCATCCTGGTTACATCCTTTTCCAACTCAAGCACAGCCATCTGCTTGGTTCAACAAGCAGAAAATCCACCCCCAGGAAACGTGAATGTATTTATGGATATGCGATGAATCCTCTGCCTTCGCTCCTCCTGGAGCTCCAGTGGCCCGACCATGCTGCGAGGCCATCTCCTGGATGGGTTTCAGTGGCCCCCCCATCCCCGCCCAAGGCGAGGGAGCATTGACGTGCTGCCAAAAGCGCTTTTGAATGGAGCCTCACAGACAAGTTTAGGGCTGGACTGTCTCCAAGAAGAACACATCTCTAGTTCTGTAATGCAGCTCCTCACTTCATAGAGGGGAAAAGATCTTCCCAGAATGTCCCCAACAGGGGAGAAACAGGGTGGTTCGTCCCTTTGCTTTTCTCAATAAAGAACTGAATCACATAGAAGTGGACTCCTGGTCCCTGGTGGACAGGAGAAAGTTCTAGAAGGTAAACAGACAAAGCGATAAACACATTGGACCCTGTGATAAGTGTTTTTCCTTTTTAAATTCTCATTCAACCCTTCTTATTATACGAAGAAGAAAATCACATTTTGGTCCTAACATCTTGAACACCTCTCTGAACCCAGAAAAAAAGTAGAATTTAATAATACTGTTTTATTTTCATGGTATTTCCTTTTATGAGCAGCTTTTACTTGTGCCATGTGGGATTAGCTCTCCATTTATGGCAGTGAGTATGATTCTCTTATGAATAAATGTATTTAAGTTTTAAGTGTGAGACAAAGAGAACCAGTGAGGGAAAGACTAGGTCAAATGGTATGCCACTATTGCAAAATTACTGGTGGGCCTCTGAAAGAATTGAAGTTTGAAAACAGGGGTAGAGGTCAGAGGTTCCATGACCCCCAGGCCACTCACCAAAGCAGGTGCTATTCAGGTCATGAAGTAATGTCCAGTCTGAAATGGAGAAGGTGGCTTCTTCCATGAATTCAGGACGGGGCACTGAAACTCTTCATGTGACCTTGGCAGACAGAAACCTCCTGAGATACGTGAGATAAGGGAGAGCAGATCTGCTATTGACTTAGTCAAAGACCCTCCTGATGGGTATGTGTGTGTATGTGGGGGGGAGGGGTTTCCTTTCTAAACAAAGAGCTGTATGTTCATTTATGTATGGTTTCTATGAAAATCCAATGAAGTGATACTAGTGGTACTAAGGGGTGAAGGGTAGGAGCAGCAGCTATTATTATATGTCAGAACTCAGTGCTAGTCTCTACCTGTGCTTCTAAAGCCCCTCACTTAATCCTTCCAGCAGCCTATATTGGTAATGCTAACACATTTAGGGAGCACATACTATGTGTCCAGACCAATTGCCAGCATTTAGTACTAGTAACAACCCTCAGAGGCCAGTGTTATTTCTCCTGCTTGACAGATGAGAAAGTTGAGTTTTGAGAGGCTAAACAACTCACAGTTAATTACAGAAGCCCCCCTCCCCCACTTTATCTGCTGTTTTGCTTTCAGCTATCTGTCATCAATCAAGGTCTAAAATATTATGAAAAAATGAGATACATTCAAAGAGAGACCACATCTACATAAATTTTATTACACTATTATGCAGTATTGTCATCATTGTTCTATTTTTTATTAGTTATTGTTGTTATTCTCTTACTGTGCCTAATTTATAAATTAAACTTTGTCATAACTATATAGAAAAAAGCATAGTATCTATAGGGTGGGGTACTAGCCACAGTTTCAGGCATCCACCTGGGGTCGTGGAGCATCCCCCATGGATAAGGGGGTGCTGCTGTGCTGGGCAGAAGGAGAGTCAAGGCTAGGCAGGCTGGTTCCAGAGCTTGCCCCCGACTATCACTTCCACAGGGGTGGGTAAAATCTCTATTTTGCAGTGTTGGACTGAGGGCTTGATCGGTAGAATAATTAACCTAAGAGCACACAGCTACTGAAATGTAAAGTCAGCAAAACCACTTTCCAAGAGGTGTGTTTCCTTGAAAGCAAGTTATTTCGTTAATTCCACAAACATTGATTAAGCGTCCAGCTGGTGGGGAAGCCCACAGTCTGCACACAGGGGCCTTGCACTGGTCAGCTGCAGCGGGGTCTGCAGGCCCTCCCCCCTCTCCACCAGGGGGAGGAATCCTGTGACTTCTCCTTGGGGTCTCTGGGTAGCGGGGTAAATCTCAGGCAGACCTGGCTGTGTGGCAAAATCAGAAACCTGAAAAGGGCTGTAGAATCTGGTTTCTGGCTCCAGTTCTGCCATTGTCTACTAGAGTCACTTTGCACCTCCCATCCTCAATTTCCTCACTGACAATTGTTGCTGATTAAAATGGCCTGACTTACTTCCTAGGTGTTTTGGGGAAAACCCAGCGAGATTTGGTTAGCAGACTTTCCAGACTGGAGTGCCCCGTAAGGGGTAGCTATTCACATTGCTCTATGGTGAGTTTTGTTTTCTTTTTAATAGAAATTATTTTTTTTAAGATTTATTTTATTTATTTATGCATACAAGAACTGGGGTCTAGGCTGAAGGGGGAGGGGGGCTTGAGAAGATTCACCAGAGACAGAGTGGAGAGCAGAACAGGTGGATCAACTGAAATACACTGCTGAGGGGAGCAGAGGGCAAGACGGGAGACCGGAGAGGTCTGCTGTGCCTTGCCATGTGGGTCAGTTCCCTGGCCAGAGATCGAACTCTTGTTGTAGTGTCTGGTGATAGCTTGATAGTGCTCAGACTTTAACCCCTGCACCACCAGGGACACCCCTCTTTTTGTTTCTAATTATAAATGGTTGGGAGTTTCAGGGCAGCACACAGAAAGAAAGATTGTTCATTACCCCACTGCCCACTGATGATGTCTATGAACCTGTTTTTGCAGTTCCTTTGAGATACTTAAATGTGATTTAATGTCAGTAAATTCATTGCCTGACTCAAAATCCAGTAGCTTTTCATGGCACGTGGAATAAAAACCAAACTCCTTCTAAGAACTTCACCTTGGCTTTGAATCTCTATGCCATCGGGCCCTACCTGCTCCACTCACCTCTTCTCTCCCACTCACCCACTATTTTTCTTCCTTTATTTGGTTTTCTAACACTCCGGTCACTCTAGCCTTTGTCTTTCTGCCTGAAATGCCCCAAATTATCATGACTGGATGTTTTTCAACGTGCAGGTGACCATGGAAGCATCAGAGAACCCCACTCTCCTCACACGTCCGTCTTTTCTTTGAGGCTTTGTGCCACTCTTGAAATTATCTTGATGGTTCCTGAGTCTCTATGTTCACTTTTTGTTCCCCACAGATATGCTGGGCTTGCTCCCCTTATGCCCCCAGTACCCAGAAAATTGCGTGGTGTACAACATAGCAACTGTTTGGTAAGTGAGCAGATTTGATTCATGTACACTTAGTCCTTGAGCAACAGACATTTGAACTTTGAGATTCAGTAGAGGTGGATTTTTTTCAACAGATGTGTGTCTGGCTTTCCATATGTGTGGGCTCCACACTCGCAGGCTCAACACCTGCAGGTGTCAGGTGGCTGAGTCTGCGGATGCAGAGCCCACAGATAGGGGAGTCTGACTGAAAGGGACTTGAGCATCTGAGGATTTTGGTACCCAAAGGGGACCCTGAAGCCAATCCTCCATGGATGCCAAGGGACAAGGGTAGTTAAGTTTTGGGGGAGTCCCAAGTTATATGTGGCTTTTTGGTTGAGGGGTCTGTGTGTGTGTGTGTGTGTGTGTGCGTGTGTGTGTGTGTGGCCAGCACACCTAAATCCTGTGTCATTTAAGAGTCAACGGTACTTTCAGCTGACATCATACTGTGTATACTGTATTAACATTTTGCAACTTGATTTTGTCACATAATATGATGTGACCATGAATTTTAACGGCAGTGTAGTATTCCATTATACAGCTGTATCACTGTTTTTAAATAAGTCCCTTTTAACTGACTAGTTGAGGCATTTCTGGTTCTTGAGTTTGTAAGTAATACAATGACAACCAGCTTCATACACACACCCAGTTTTGCTTGACTCCATAACCGTTTCCCCAGGATTAATTCCTTGCAGTATAATTGTGGAATCAACAGGTGTGCTTGGTTTTAACCCCTTTATTATATGCTGCCAGACTGACTTGAAGAAAAGTTGTTCCATCTCTGAGTTTGTTTTAACTGTGCTTAGCACATCGCCTTCTTAATGGACTCCTCTGGAAGCAAAGGGAATGTCATTATCTCCTTACCCAGGAGTGCTGAGGTTGAGGCCACTGCGGAAACCTTCCTTTCCGTCACTGAGCACTGCTGGCCACATCCAACGCTGTATGTAGGAATCCTTGGTCTTGATGAACCAAGCCTGGACGTCACTTCAGCCAGAAGTTTATCACTCTGGAATTAGCCTCAGCCAGACTTTGCCAACTGCATGTTCCTTCTCTCCCTCTCCCAAACACACCTCAGGCTAGCCAACTGGCCTCTCCCTGAGCCCTGCCCATACCTGGCCAAGTCCTCTGCACCTTAGCTCACCTACCTTCCCTCTTGCCTGCTCCACCCACTTTTCCAAGACCCAGTGCAAACCTTCAGCCTCCTTCCACCTTCTAGACAGCCCCTTGGGGAGACCCTCTGAACCCAAACTTCTATAACTCTGACTACCAACCATCTCACTGCCTGTTGCTGTTTTTATTATTTGTGCCTGAATAAGTTTAAATCACCAACTAAGTGTTTCTTTCTCTCTGGGAGCTTGGTCATAGTACTAGTCTGCACATTTGGGAGAATCCAGGCTGGGGCGGAGCCTCCACTCTGCTACCTAGCAGTTCAGTCCATTTGGACACTATATTTAATCTTTCTGAGCCTTGGCTTACCCATCTGTAAAATTGAGATTGTCATAGTACCTGAGTGACTCTGAGAATTCAGATCATATAAAATGCTTTATTAGTTTGGGGTCTGCCATAGAACTATCGCTCAAAACAACAACAGAAAAATGGAAGGATTTCTCTGAAATTTGCCCTCCTGTACCTTTACAGAGGCTGAACGAGTAACCTGACATTGGGAAAGGAATATTGTGGAATGCAATGAACAGATGGTGTGTAAGCATTCATTGTGCGTCGATTTTGCCTTACTGACCAGCACCCAGGGGAACCAGAACCATTATCTCAGAATCACAGGGCAGGAAAAAGAGAAATAATTTCTATCATTAGCCAAAACCTCACTAAGATCTAGGGCCATTGCTGTCCTGAGAGTGAAGATATGTGATCTGATTTCATCCCCACACTAGCCTGACAAAAAGATATTTATTCAGTCTCTCTGATAAAAAGAACTACCTGCCATGTGCTAGACCTACACAAGACATATTTTTTAGCTGTGATTTCATTTAAACCCTCACATTCCATGAGATAAACATTATTACCGAAGAGGAAGCAGAGTCAGAAAGTTTAAGCAAACTGCCCAAGGGCTGACCAGTTGCAAGAGATGAGCCAGGGTTTCAAAAAAAAAAAACAAAAAAAACAAAACAGATACTTCTGCTTTGTCACCTGACTTATTGACGTTCTCGTAGAACAGAACTCTGCATTCATTGGGCGTTCAGTAGGAACTGAGTTGCAACCACGTGGTGATCTTGAACCTGCTGACAGATGCTTTAGAGGGAGAAGTTTCTATTTCCGGTGCCCACTGTGATCTCCAGGGAGGTTTCCCCACCCCTGCTCTGCCGTCATGGAGTTCTTGTTTTTCTCTGGGCCTATGACTCAGCATGCTGCTCCAGATGGCTTCCTGCATTTCCAGCCCTGGTGGCTGGGGTGCTGAGGTCTGGGTGCAGCAAACTAAAACTCCAAACTTGCCACAACCCAGAGAGGAAACCCTCCCTCGTCTGCCCTTTAAAAAAGACCGGTGGGGTCCACACATGGCTTGTGGTGGTGACTTCGTGGACCCCCGAACACTGTCCCTCCCTCCAAGCCACAGGACCCTCACACTCCATCCCAGCATATCCTGGAGGCCCGGAGAAGGCCATCTGGGCCAAGCTCGGGAACCAGTGAAGGGGAAGGGCCCTGCCTGTCTCCTCCTTGGTTTGTTGACCTTATGTAGTTTACTCTACCAGCCTCAGTGATTACCCGGGGGCACTCTTATTGCCTCCCGCTGAGGGTCGTAGACTTGGGGCTATCAGGTAAAATATGGAAAGTCCAGAGGTAGACTCTGAGTGCTGGTGTCTTGTCGAAAGTCATAAATTAAGCCCAGCACCCAAGGTGATGGCATTAGAGGTGGGCCTTTGGGAGATGAGCAGGCCATGAAGACAGAATCCTCATAAATGGGATGAGTATCCTGATGAAAGAGACCCCAGGGATCTCCCTCGTTGGGTCATGTGAGGGCACAGGGGCTGTAGTGGAGGAGTGGTGTGGGTACAGGGCTGACTGTACCCAAGGGGGCACATCCTATACGTCCAAAACACTAACAAAGAAGTAATAAAAAATAAAGTAAGCAAAGAGACAGCTGTCTATGAACGAGGAAGCAGGTCCTCATTAGCCACCAAGTCTGCCGGCACCTTGCACTTAGACTTCCCAGCCTCCAGACCTGTGAAAAATAAATGTTGGTTTTTAAGCCACATTATCTATGTTATGTTGTCTTGTATGATACCCAAATGGACTAAGCACCTGGTTGAACCTGAATTTCAGGTAAACAATTTTTTAAATGTAATTGTGTCCCAAATATTGTGTTTGAATTTAACCAGGTGGCCTGTAACTTTATTTGTTAAATCTAGCAAGTCTATGTGGAATGAGATAACAAAAGTGAAAGTGCTCTGTCACCTATCAAGAGCCGTACACGTAATAATATCTTCACCATGAGACGTCTGCTTATCTGCTCCGGGGCCACCAGCACAAAGTGGGTGGCCTCAGCATCAGGCAATGGAGAAACCTGTGCCACCTCAACCTGACAACTGTGAATCCTCAATCTTGTTTGTCATTTGACTGGTTTTTGGACATTTCATAGCTGGAGTTTCAGTGCTTCCGTCTTTCATCCCCCAAAATGTTTAAATGAGAAATATCAAGGCAGCCAGCACCTAGAACATTGCCTATGGCATATCCGGACCAAGTTTGCTTTTGCCTATATGGTTGAAGAAGAAAATAGCATGACTTGTATGAGTAATAAAAGATTCTTGTGTACAATATTTAGCTCCAAGATATTTGCAGAGCACTGCTTGGCATAGAAAAACAAAGGGAAGTAACTAGCACACTATATATAGATGACTTGTTTAATTTAGATTTGGGGTGTCTCCTCCTACCAGAGATCTAAATTTTGTGGAGGGAGGGATTTTTGTCTATTTTGTTACTTAGAACAATGTCTGTCCCAGGAAGGGTAGAATATTTGATTACCTGGAATCATTTTGATACATTAAGGACAAATAAGTGCCTTCATCATCTATCTATTGGAAAGAAATTTTTCTGAGGCCAGGCAACCTCCTGTTCTTGCTGAGGAGATGATAGTAATGTTCCTAAGTTCCTTAGAGTAACTTTTACCACTTCGCAACAGAATCTCCCCCAATTAGTGATCAACTCAAGGATCTAGTGACTGAGGCCCAAGGGCTAGTGCTTGGACTGCATTTCCCAAACTCTCCCAAAAGATCTGCTGCCATTGTTTTTTAAATGAATTTGTCACTGGTTACCAAGACACTCATGAATGTCCATAACCCAGTGTTAGTGCTTGGATTCAGTGATAGGTTGGTTACACCAATAAAGGATGCTTCCAGAAAGTTCCCAGGTCCCTCTTGGGTCACATCTCTTAGAAGCAACTCTCCAACTCAGGAACTTGACGTCGGTGACCTTGGAGTGGCTCACCAATTCTATGGGCTGCATTTAGGTGTCCTCACCTCACCTTAGCTCTTCATTCAATTCTACACTGTCACTTTCTCAGCATTCTCCCCAGGGAGTTCTCAAAGCTGCCCCTTCTTCTCCATTCCTATCACCTGCCCTAGTCCAGGCCTCCTTGCCTCTCCCAGGAGACAAGGAAGCTATTGCTTCCAAGCTTTCTTCCAAAAGTCCATCTTGCACACCACCCGAGAGAGCCTTTCATAAACCGGGTGTCAGTTGCAGTCAGCTTGTCCCACCTCTCTCATTCTATGAAACTTAGGTAGTCCAATACACTCCTTGAAATGTTTGTTTCCTTGTGGGAGGTGTGGAGAGACAGGGGTTATATTTTCATGGTCTTTTCTGGCTTTAAATACCTGCTGCACTGAATTAGGAGTTGTGTATGAATTGATTACCTTGCAAACATATACACCAGGTGCCTTCCAATCATACATCACATCAGCGCAGATGTGGCTTTGACCCTTTCCTTATTTTTCACCCTAGAGAACTCACATCATTCATCTTTGTGAGCATAAGACTTTCCTATTTTTTCTGGATGGAGAAATTCAAGTATCAGCTAGATGTCAACTTAGGTGTTTTTAATGATGCACTTTTAAGTAAAATATGTAAGGCACGAATTCTTTCTCTTCATTCTATGGAAGTTAAAGCATCAGAGTTAATGCTAAGGTGATAGAACCAGAAGATGAAAGAACTTGACTTTGCTGCCAAGCCATCATCCAGTCCTGGATTGCGTACCTTTTAGACTTCCTGTTGGAAAATAGAAATAAACTCCTATATGTGAGGCTAAATGCGAGTCAGGTTTTCTACTCCTTGCAGCCAAACACGCTCCTATCTGTCACATTTCCGATCTAGTGCAGAGCCTCCATTTCTAGCTCCCACCACCATTTCTAGCCCCTTATCTATCTTATCTTTCTACCCAGCACTTTATCTGTGGCTGAAAAGATATTATTTCACAATTGCCCACAAGTTGGCCATCTGTTTTCCCATCAGCTTGTAGGCTCCGTGTGGGGAAGGAGTTGCTCTTATTCTCATGGTAGCCCTAGGGCTTAATAAAGTCCTTGCCACACAGTAGGTGCTCACTAAATATGTGTCAAATAAGCAAATGAAGGCAAATCTGATTATATTTCTCAGCCTTTACCTCCAAAAGGAGTTTTCCTTTAAATTATCTGCCCTGGGCTCTGCAGCCTACCCACCTTGTCCTGAACCACACTGTGTATGTGCCAGCCACTGAGCCTTTGCACAGACTGCTCTCTGAGCACCAACTCGATGCCATACATTCTTTAAGGATAGAAGAGAACTCGAATGACCAGACAGAAAGAATCTCCATCTCCCTGGAACTCAGCAGACAGGACAGACATCGGCCAAGCAGGGATGGTGTGGATAGTCTTAATAAGCGGGGGGAGGGGGGAACAGAGAATTATGATAGCTCCACTCCCTCTAGGTACCAAACTGCTATTCATCCTTTGAGACTCAGCCTTGATGTCATCTCATCTAGAAAGCCCGCTCCAAGTCCCTGGACTGGAGCAGGGGCTCTTGGTGCTCCTAAGAATGCTTGCTGGGCAGCCCAAGTCACAGAACTCAGCCTGCTCCATGCCTTTGCAGTCTCCTTGCCTAGCTCCCCAGCTTATGGAACCAGGAGGCCTTCTTACTATTCTCTGTATAAGGTCCAAAGCATGGAAGTTTTACTAAGTCAGAGCTGACCTGTTCCTTCCTTGGCTTGTTCCAGTCCTCCCCAGCCCTCTTCCCTTGTTCAAGGTTCAGACTGGCTGGGTGTCTCCCTTCCGCTCAGCTCCCAGGCATTTCTTCATCTCGTTCTGAATGACCCTTTCTCTCCTGAGGGATACCGTGGAATACAGAAGTACCAACCTCCTCTTGGGCTAAGAAAAGCTTAGATATAAGGTCTAGAAGATTCACCCAAACTGCTAGTGAAGGAGTTTCTGCTTTTGTTTTCCTCCATCCCCTTCTTCATCCCCTTCCTTGTCTCACATTGATACTCAACTATACTACTCTCTTCCCAGAACCTGACAGATTTCTCATGCCTCTGTACCTCTCTCTGCACATGTTTTTATCCTCTGCCCAAAATGCTGTTCCCCCACTATCGCTTCCTGATGAAAGATGCCATAGCCTTTGAAGCCCAGCTCACATGTACTCTTCAACATGGCTTTCCCCACACCCCATACCCTATCTCTAAGCGATATGAATTGTCCCACTTGTGCTTATGCTTCTTTGACTCTGGCCTGATCCCAGACATTTTGGGATCATGACATATTGTAGTTTGCTTTCAGACAGTGAACTCCTCACCATCTGGATCTGAGCCCAATCTCTTTTTCTTCTTCCAGTGGTCAGGATAGGTCTTGGCACACAGTGGTACCAAAGGAGCGATTGTTGCTTTGGGTGACTGAGGTCTTAAGGAAGGTGTGAGAAGGGTCATCTATCTCTTCCGGTATTTGGTCTCTAAGGAATGGTTTTCCCCTTTTTCCATACATCTGGCTTGGGTGTGATTGACCAGGACCTAAGGCAGAGCAGAGCAATCAGGTAGCACTTTTGACCAGTGATGGGCATGTAACCCAAGCCTGAC